AATTGTGCTGTTGTCCTTCTACTGCATGAGAAGAGCCTGAAATAACAGAAGCTGTTATGACATCTCTCAAAGCCTGCCTTTGTCAAGGTCACAGTTCTATTTTTGCTGCATTTTGTGCAAACAGAGATAGGTACAGTAGGAATGTACATTTTATAACTAAGATGCTGAGTCCCCCAAAAGTGTAAAATGAAAATGCACCTCCCACACTTTGTTATGCAAAAACATAACATACATTGGCTGATTGTTAGCCTGGATCTGTGTGCTGCTCAGCTGGCTCATCGGCAGAGACAAAGCTCTAGAATTAACCTGTGCATGTTCTTTCTTGACTAGCAACCCAAAATTTTTGAGGAACACAGGTAAAAGATGGGAGTTCTGCCTTTAAACCACATATGTAATATTTATATTCTTAAATGTGTGGAAGCTTTATATAAGTGGGTTCTGCTGGCTCATTCAGTTCTACCAAATTTGTGTGTGGTTATGCTGAATATGTTGAGATTAAGAGCTCTTTCTCAAGTGTATTTGGAGCAACAGAGGGTGATAAAGATGAGGGTGTGCTTTGGAGCCAGAAGTTGATAGAGGTATAGTATGCTGAGCGTTATTAAACACGTGGGTAGTGTGTTTGAATCTGGGTGTGTGCTGATGGTTTGAGTGTGGGAGAACACTGGGAAGCAACTTCTGTGCTTGTTCTGCCCATCTGCATTCCTGGGCGTCAGTGAGCTCCTCCTGTGGGGAGGACAAAGTTCTGGATCCTGGGCTAGATGGACACTTTGTCTGAGCCTTATGGACATAAGGACTCCTGTTACATGGGATGTGCTGGGCAGGATGGCTGCTGGATGTCCTGCTTTTGACTGGGACAATGTTATTTTCTTCCTAGTAGCTGGTGCGTTGCTGTGCTTGGGATTTGGTATGAGAATAGTGTTGATAACACACTGACATGTTGGTTGTGGCTAGGTAATGCTTGCTGTAAGTCAGATGCATGCCAGTTTCCCATGCTCTGCCAGTGAGGAGGTGCACAAGAAGCTGTGAGGAAGCATGGCCAGGACAGCTGACCTGAGCTGGCTAAAGGGATATTCCATGCCATAGAGTGACATGGTCACTGTATAAACTGGGGGGAGTTACCTGGAAGGGGACTGATCTGCTCCTCAGTAAGCAGGTGATGAGAAATTGTGCTGTGCATCTCTTTTCTCTTGGGTTCTATTACTTGTTTTTCCTCTCCTTGTAATTTCAATTATTATTATCAGTAATAGCATATTTATTATTATGCTATCTATTTGCACTTATTAAATTGTGCTTATCTCAGCCCATGAGGTTCACCTTTTCTTTCTACTCCTCCCTTTCCCAGTGGGTGGTGGGTGCATGGTGGGAGCAGTGAGGGAGTGGTTGCCAGCTGCAGTTAGACCACGATGCTGTGTCATGTGGAGTGAAATTGTAAAGTGACAATGGATAAAAATGCTTTACCTGTAGGAAAAAAAAATCAACTGTTCAAACAAAATCCAACCACTTTACACTGAAGTGAGCAATGCTGTTGTGAATGTTGTGTTGGCTGTGCTAAACTTGTGGGGACAGTAAAAAAGAGGGGTACAGAGAGGAGATTGAAGTTTTCTGCATTAGCAGAAATGGTGTTTAAGGAGTCATTCTATGTAATGTTAGCAGCAGAAAGAGTAATAGGAAATGTATATCAAATTCCATCAGGATGTTTGGAGCCTAGAAGAAAGTTCATGTAATGGGAAGGAACCAAACCCTGTATATCTGTGTGTGTGTGTGTGTATACATATCTATATCTATGTAGATATATATATATATATGTTGAGATATATATATATATATATATCTCTGTATATATACACACACATATAGATAGAATGATGCTTTTTGGTTTTACATGTATACATGCAGGTGAAAATTCCTGATATGTATGTTGCTTAATGTTAGTTGTCAAAGCATGACTAGACAAAAAATAATGAATAGGACAATGTATTTTATTTGCTAATAAGAGATCAATTTGCCTTTTTTAAAAAAATAGAATTAAACAGATGTTCTCTTGATGAACATCTTCTGTAAAGAAGTACTTGGAGAGGCTGCTTACTTAGAATTTTCTATATATTGTAATATTTATGTGTATAGTTAAGGTACTTCATTTATAATATGCTAGAATATACTTCTAAAAAACATTGGGTAGTTTACTTGATACATTTATTTTTAAAGGAAAGATACAATTTTATGGGTAAAACATATTGCATACTGTTTTTAGTGTTCTGAGATGCTAAAAATTGCAAGGAATTGAAATATTATATTAAATACCTGTACAAGAAAAGCCCTTATGTATAACAGGCTATCCAGTATTGTTTGCTTAATTTTTTTCTTCTTTTTTTTTTTTTAACTTTTAATAGGGAGTTAAAAATATCACTGTGTTCTACTTTCTGGTACATGCTCTAGTGTCTCCCAGATATGTCTGAATTTGGTGCATCTGTTGATAGATAAAGTAAGGTTGTATTGACAAAGATCCTGGGAATTAGTCTCAGACATATTTTAAATTAATGTCTTTGTGTCTTTCTGTTAGGTAATACAGTATTCATTGCAGGTCAGTTTGTCTAAAAGTTACTTGTAGTAATAACCATGTTGTGACTTGCTTGTAGCTGTTCATGTTCAGTGTGAAATACTTTCATCTTTCTGCTCACAAGAACATTATACAGTGAGAAGCAAGTATAGAGCAACATTGGCTTTTAAGACCAATTGCTTTTCTACTGGTGGAGAAACTTGGGTAAAACTGTTGCATTTGTTTGAAGCTTGTGATTAGCTTTATAGTTGGGTAAAACTTGATGTGGTTGAGCTCTGCAAAACTTCACTCAATTTTCTGATCTAAGGGTTGGTGAGTGAATCATTGAAGAGAGTAAGAAACATGTAGTAAGAGTGCTCTAGAAAGTTCTCAAAACATTTTCAGATCTTATCTGATTTTTTTTAACAAAAGATGGATTTACATGAGAATTAGGATGACCAGCAAGTTGCACGACAAACCTGCAGAAGAAACAATAGGAATGATGCAAGCTGTCCTAAGTCTTTTTAAGTTTCTTTAGGGGAGAACATATTGCCGTACTTTGCCTGGTGAAATGACATTTCTCATGAACAAGGGATGTGATGTGGCATGACTAATGTGCAGAGATGCAGTTGGAAGTTGAAAAGCATTGTATGGGTTGCAAGTTCCTATGTTTTACTCATCAATTAAAAATTTTCAGTCTTCCAGTCTGTGTGTAACTTGGAACTGTGGCTGACATAGCTGGAAGATGGTTATGATTCGTAGTTGTGTTTGAGTGCAACAGCAGCAAATTTCACTGCTCTGTCAGAAGACAGCTTTTGTTTCAGACTGAAATTTGGAATCAAATCAAGAAACTTAAGGAGTTTTGTTTTTCTTTCTTCCATTTCTGTACGTAACTTCAGTGTGGGTATTAACTGAATGTTGTGAGAAACCCCTACCATGTTGGTCATGATGACTGTTGTTTATTTCATAGAATTGTGGATTAGTTTGAATTGAATTTTAAAGGATATCTAGTCCACCCTGCAAAGAACATCTGCAACTAGATCAGGTTGTTCAGAGCGCTATTCAACCTGACCATGAATGTTTCCAGGGATGAGGCATCTGTCACCTCTCTGGGCAGCCTGTGCCAGTGTATTCTTCCTATAAGCACCTTTGTACCACTTCGTCTCCCAGTATAATACTGTTTCTGGATTATGAGTGTTAATGAAAATACAAAATAAACTATTGCTAAAACAGACCCTCTAATTTTTTTTTGTCACCAAAACACATGTAATTTAATGGTATATAAGGTAATCTGTAATTTCAAAGTTGGATGCTTTAAAATATACACTGGTTTATATATAGCACATTTTTCAGTTCAAGGTTAAACTGCAAATGTCAGATTGAAGAATAATTTCTAAGACCTTAGATTTTCTTAACAAATTTTTGCAAAATATTTATCTGGAAAAGAAAGTCATATTGCAAAATTGTCTTGCAGTGTCTCTCACTAGTTCACCTACATTCAGTCCTGGCTGTGATTTTCAGTTTGTTGAATGAATATTTTCATTCTAATTGGGTTTTGGATGCATTATGCAGTCTGCAGCAGGGATTGCACATCAGTCTTGTGAACATGAAATAAAGATGGTACAGTTCCTACATTAAACTCCTAAAGGATTAGTTAAGTTCCTGCTGGCATTCACTGTCCATTTGGACTTCAAAGAATATCTGGCAGATTATGTGAGGTGTATTGGCAAATCAGTTCTCACTAGTGTGTTGTTGTGAAAATGGTATGTAAAACTAGTTTTCGGTATGTAATAACACTTTCATAGTTCATCTAGTTATAATGTTGGAACACTTTTATAGTTTGTGTATGTGTTTTTTCTTACCTTTGCTCGAATCAGCTTAATAGTGGACAAAAGGTGTCCTGTTCCTTTTACACTCAGCTATGTTTTAATATGTGTATTTGAAAATTACTTGCCTTTTTCAGTTCCTTTGAAAACAGCAGCAATACAATTGGTGGTACTGAATTTTGAATACATAGCAGTACATGCAATGGAAAGTATTTGATGTATCATTTTCCAAACTTCTGTGCTCATAAAGACAAAAATTAGCTCTGAACTACAAAAAAAAAAAAAAGAGAAAAAAAATCAACCTTAGCAGATTAATTTTCTCTTTATAGGACTTGCAGTTTTTACAGTGGTGTTTACAATTGTAAATTCTAGGCTTTATTTATGTGAACAAGTATTCTGGCTACTGACAGTAGAATTTATATGGTTGAACTGCACACTTTCAAATAAAAAAGTATGTGTTTGCATAGAATAAACATTGCAAAAAAACCCTCAGGCAGAATAAAAGTGTAATTACAGATTCCTGTTATGTAATATTTTGTAGAAATAATTGGAGATTAAACTCTATTGAAATGGTACTTTATTCATTGGAGAAATGCTTATGATTTTTAATTGAATTTTTTTTCCCATTTTCTTTCCAGGTATTGCTTTGTTTTTGCTTTAGGATACCTCACTGTGTGCCAAATTACTAGGGTCTATATCTTTGATTATGGACAGTATTCTGCTGATTTTTCTGGGTAAGGAGAAAAATAATCTTCCTATCTTTTCCTGCTAAGTGGTACTGTATCTGTTGTTGTTGGGGATTTTTTATTGGTTGCCCAATATTAATTGTGTCAACCTTTAAAACTTTGGGAGAAAGCTGAGCATGTATGTGCATATTGGCACACATGCAAATATATGAGTAACTGTGCTTTAATCATACAAACTGAGAATTTTTGTGAACAATTGTTCTTGTTAGAACCACCAATGTGTTATCTATTGCCTCTTGTTCCTGAGTGGCATAAAGGATTTGGTGGCTATGGGAATTTTTTCTCTTTGATTTTTCCATTAAAGTGTCTGCTACCATCCTTGAGACATGATGAACCTTGAAGTGTGTCTGGTGTACTTGGTTGCCTGGCACAGTCTAATACCACTTTTTGAGGAAAATCTGAACGTTTTATGGAATTTAACTTTTAGTTTCTTTCTTTTTTTCTTTTTATGTTAGATGTTCCAGAAGGAGAAAGCTAAGGAGACAGGCCCCTGGGTGTTGAGGTAGTCACAGAGAGCTTGGAAACAGAAAGGTTTTGTCTCTGTGTGCCCTCATTATCTCATGAACTTATACCTATATTCGACTTGAACTGTATAGGAGCAAAACAGAATTAAATGGGCAAAAAAAAACCCCCAAAACCCACCATATTGGTAATTCTTCTTTCTGTGCAGACACAGAGAAGTGAAGTACAGCATTTCTTAAAAACAAGTTTGTTGCTGTGATAGTGCTTTTGTTAATTTAAAGGAGAGTGTGTATTCTGGACGGGAAAAAAAAGAGATGAGGAGTATTTGCTAGTCTGCTTGAAATAACGCATTAAGTTCTTTCCAGGGATGCTGTGAGTGGCAGTGGTCTCTGTAGTTTAGCATAACCTTTGATGGAATTGTACTTGTTAGCCTTGTTACTTCTCAGTCTTTATTGGTAACAGGCCTGTAGTCCAGAAAATTAACTTGTAGGCTGAAGCCAAAAGCTTTTATGGTTGAGTTCATCTTTTCTGTCATCTTTATCTTCTTACCTTCTAAAACATCTTTCTACATTTGTCTTACATCCAAGTGTCTGCCTTCAAGCCAGATATCCAAGTTCCAATTGTAGTTAGCAGAGATGTGATCGGTGTGGACAGTGGAGGCTGGAGGGCGTTTCAGCTGACCCACCACTAAGTGTGTACCTGAGCGTGAACTGGGTCACTTGTCAGATGCCCCTGACTCTGGAATCCATCTCCACTGGCTGTAATGAGAGCTTGCAGCACAGTCATGTGCATAAAAACACTGGATTTACTGATGTTGAACTTAATTTCACCACTACTAGTGAAACTGTAATCCAGATGCTGTCCCTTCCAGTTCACTGTAGGGCCAGAGTGTACAAGCCTGGCAGTGATCAAAGTTCTGAACTGACTGTGCAATTGCACTTCGTCGTTCTCATTCTCAAAACAATTGGTAGAGCTTTAGCACGCCATTGCTCAGATGGGACTGTACTGCTTTCAGACGTGGCTCTGATGGTTTGGTGGTAGCTCAGAGATTTCTGTTAGGTCTAAACACATCCGAATATTCCCACATCCCATCCCTGGAGAAGTTTAAGGCCAGATTGGATGAAGCAACCTGATCTAATTGAAGGTGTCTGCTCAGGGCAGGGATGATGGAGGTAGATGATTTTCAAGGTCCCTTCCAACCCAAACCATTCTATGATTTATGAGCTCTGTGCTCTGGACAGAACTGTTCTGAAGCCTAGATCCAACTCTCTGTATGTTTGAGATGGTAGATTTAAACCACTCTTTCATGTACCAGTTTGGGAGCTTGATGTATGCATATCACATTAAATCTTTGGCATACACTGGATGTGCTCCCTTGATGCAAGACAGAGATTACTTCCAAAACAGGAGAGAAAGAAAACTTTCTCTGGTTCTGGGAGAACAGAGTAAGCTCAAAAAAACCATAAAGTTGTCTAACTAGCTGCTGAGCTTTAGTATGAGCAAGTTCTTCTAAAGATGTTAGCATGAATTTGTATAGTGGTTAGCCCCAAAAGAGCTTTAATGTGTGTTTACTTAGATATTTCTCCTAGCATGCAGTGCTTGCCTGAGGTGGCCAAGCTGAGAAAATCTGCTCAAAATGTGAAGAAAGGTCTCAGTGCACTGACAGTGGAGGAAGATGGGGACACCTCATGCTAGAGATGCAATTGCTTGTGCAGAGCTCTGTGGTCCTGGCTGCAGTACTAACAGATCCCAGCTGCCTCCTTTGCCTTTCTGCCAGCACCTAAAAGGGATTGTTAAAATCCTGCTTCACAGCCTCACTGTGCCAGGAAAGACTCTTCCTCTTTTAGTGTCTAGATTTTTGCTTTTCGGCCAAATATTTGATGATACTGGAATAGCCGCTTCAGGAGAAAAAAAAAAAAAAGAATACCAGGGTCTGCTATGATAACAATGACAGATTTATCAGCTGGAATTAATGTAAGGGCTGACTGAGTTCCTCCTGGACTCCATCCTTCCACCAGGCAGGACCCATGCTGTCACATGTCTGCTTATAGAAGCAAAACCCATTATGTTTAGAGTCAGTTGGGGATTTCTGCCAGCACCAGGCAGGCCTACAGATTAAATGCTAGAAAAAGGTATGAGGGATTTACCAGACTATCTGTTCCTGTTTAGTCTTCTTCCTTTATGACCCTCATGTGTCACTCTAGTCTTGATATCAGGATTTTGGGGCACTGGTAGTACCACAGAATTTTTTTCCCCTGATTGTATTTTGAGGACTGGAAATAACTGTGTGCTTTGAAACCATTTTAGTCATTCCCTAAAAGGAAAATCAATTTGATGGACTGAACCATATGGCAAAATACTGGTGTAGCCCTATTAAGGAAGGAGGATTTGATGGCTTTTGGATTTGTGTTTCTGTGCCAATTTAATATATTATAAAAATGCCAAGTGCACTCAAGATGTGAACAAAACTAAGTGTCCATTGTACAGCATTATTATTTTATTGTGAGGGGTTTTTGGTTTTTGTTGCTTGTTTTTGGTTTGGTTTTTTTTTGTCTCCAGCTCAGATACTTCTAGGTAAATTCAACCCCTGATGTGTTTTTTGAGATCTGTTTTCCAAATTAAATTTCTAAATTGTAGTAGTTTACTTTATGCATTCCCCATTGCTTCCCTACCCCAGGGAGGTGGTTCATAATGTTGAGATTCACATCAGGCAAAAGCTCTTAGATACTATGAAAATGGTACAATTTCCTGGTACAAAACTGACTTGGCTAGCCAGGGCAGAATATTTCTTGGACAGCTGAAGATTCACTCAAGTGTTCTAAATTCAGAACAAAGTGAACTCTGTTTGAGCCAGCATAATTTTGCTGGGTTTTTGTTTTGCTAGGTATGTTTACTTGGAGCAAATTATAACTCTTGATGGAAAAATCAAAGATAGAATCAGGTGTTAGTAGAAACCATGGAAGTGGTCTGCATAGCTAAATAACTTATTTTAATTTTCAAAAAGTTTAATATTCAACTTTGTTATAATTTTCTTGTCCTTTGCTTACTGCTGCTGTATCTTTTAATGAATATAATTGCTTTGTCCTTTCTTCTTTACTCTTTTCCCTGTAAAAAAAATAAACTATGTTAGTAAAAAATAGATAAGAAACACTTCAGCTGTATTTGTGGAACCTAATGCAGCAATAAAAAACAGGCGTTATCAAATACTGCATTTAAGGCTTGAATTCTTCTCATTGCATTGAAAACTCTGCAATGGTTTGAGTGAATAAACTAAACACTTTGTTCTTGCATTGAAGATGTTCTAGCTTAGAGTAGTTAACCTGGACTCCTAATATAAACTTCCCCTGGTATTTATAAGTGAACGAAAATCCTGAATTTGTATCTGAATTGTTCTTCTTCCCTTTTTTTTTTCTTGACAGTCCAATGATGATAATTACACAGAAGATCACTAGTTTGGCATTTGAGATTCATGATGGTAAGATTTCTTTACTGTGTTTAATTTTCCATACAAAATAAATTTTACCAAAGTTCATTGTGAGTCAGTGAATTACTTTGGACCAATTTTGTGTTTCAAGGCCAAATAAATTTCTGTGTCTCAGTTGTTTCACTGATGCTTATTAATGAAAGGCCTGAGAAATGTTGCTTGGACTCTACAGAAGCTCTAAAAATGCTGACACTGTGCAGAAGATATGACTTATCAGAAGACCAGTGACACTTCTGCAGTCAGTGTCTAAAGAGCAATGATATTCTTTTGGGCTGGGGTATTGACTGTGAGAGTTAACTAAAGAACTTCCAGATTCAGAGACCTCCGTTGCTGACAGATGGATAGAAAAAGCACATGTCATTTCAGTTGTTGAGCACCTTTTGTTTTAAAATGCTAATTCTTGAGCACTTCCCTTGTTTGTGCCATATATGCTGATTTTTATAAAACCTTTGTGTGTTTCATTTTGTTTAGTATCATAATTACACTCACAGTTAACAGATTGCTGTAGAGATTATCTAATTATGTTTATGTCTTCTGTCAGACATATCTATCAGATAAGTAGGCCCTGGTTGTGACAATGAATCCTAATGTTGGCTTTTATGGGTAGGATACTGGGTTTTTAGTTACCTCAAAATTCAAAGGAGTAATTTTCATTTTCAAGTTTGAAAATGTCATCTCATAAATCCGTCCAATTAGCTTGAATCACTTTGGAGCTACAGATGTCAGCTGAAGATTTGGGAGTGTAGACACCTGGATGAAGCCACCTGCTGTTCTGATATTGTTTATTAACATCGTGCATGAAGTTCAATGTGTTTCTGTCTCAAATGCACCCTGGCTTTAGTGCTCTTGGTGTTTAGTTTTTTTTCTCTTCCTGTTAAGTGGCACTGTCTAGAGAAGCCTGTGGGCAAAAACTTTCAGGAATATGAAAAGTTGGGAAAAGACCTTTATAAAGTATCTTTGTATGAATGAAACTAAATAATGCTGGGCTTATTTAGTTGGTCAAAGACATTGATGTTCACCTTCCAGAGAAAATATATTCAGAAGTAGTAATTTTGCAATCTATAATCAGCTGAAGTACAGAGAACACAAGTTAGTGGAAGCAGGTTATTATAAGGAAGTAATAGTTCTAGTATCAAGCATGAATGCTTCCTCTTACTATTATTTTGGTAGGGGAAAGAGCTATTCTGAATTTGCTGACATCATGCACAAATAGTGGAGTGGTGGTGTGGAACAAGCATGTGAGTGTTCCTGGCAATCTTGAGACACATGTTTCATTTAGTCAGCTCTATTCTTAACTTTCATCATGAACTAGACTAGATTTTTTTCCTACTTAAATTAATTCAGATAATTTGTATTTTCTTCTGGATTTCTTTATGCACTGATTTTTTAGTGTAAGTCTTGACATTTTGTTGCTCATTGACCTCTAAATTCTTTGTCAGCCTTTGAGTAGTAACTAGCAGTATATTGGAAAAATTTCTCTGGTTGTGTCTGCAGTTTAGCAGATTCCTTGAGTTGGATGATCACAGTTGCAGTTGTGAACATGACTTTCAAAAGTTGATGTGACCAGTGTGAGTTCAGAAGCAGCTGATAGTCTGGTGTCATGAGATGATGAGAAAATATGTGCAGGGGAGACTAAAACTGCATTAAAGCAAAATTTTTAAATCTTAGACAACCTAAAAGGGATCCTTCATGAAAAATTAATGAAACAGGCCCTGCTGTCAGTGGGCTTTTGTTCACTGTACAAAAGTACATGCTTCCACTGGAAATTACTTAGAGATATAGGGACAGGAGAGGAGATAATGTTACAAATAATTTTAAGTGATTAATGGCACTCTGAGCCTCTAGTCACATCAGCTTGGCTATATTCAACACCAGTTACTTTATTTTCTTCCCTTATTTTTTACCAGTACATTCAAGGAGTGTAATGAAAATAAACAGCCAGAAAAAAATGTTGCTGTGTTGGAAGTTGCTGGTAAACTTCAAGATTCCAGTGGTAGCTAGGTTGGTTTTTGGTAAAGGCCAGTCTTCTGGACTTGATCTTTCCATGGCAGCCAGTTTGTTGTCTTCAGCTGGTTTCATTTGAAGGTCCTGGAGTGAAATGAGTGTAGCCACAAAGACCACTCACTTGTACTGCATATTCAAGTGTCTGTCTAGCTAAGTGGATATGCTTGATTCCAAGCTGAAAACTAAGTACCCCTATAACTGTTATACCCTTTGCTCTTACTGTGAGGAATTTTTTAAGCAGGGAAATAAAATGCAAATTGCATGCAATTTGGATTTGATGATCCTTGGGGGTCCCTTCCATTTCAGCCTATTCTGTGGTACTGTACTTCAAGTTTGCTGTATAATACAAACATTCCAGAAGTTTGCATGGATCACATACTTACACCTGAAGAGATTTGGAGTATGCCTTTCATGTATTCTGATTTACGTTTTGAACTTCAACCTTTGATAGTTCTTACCTTGCAGTTCCTTGTCACTCAAATGAGCAATGCCAAAAATGAGTAGTCAGTGTGTTAACATTTGCTTTGCATTTTTTGCTGATTACCCCTGGCATCTCACAAGTATATTCTAAAGGCAGAAATGTTTTTTATGTAATTTGGAAACTGCTGATGTCCATATTAATTCTTTATGGCAAGATTTAGATTTATTTATGCAACACTTCAGGCAAATAACAGAGTTAAGGGAGAAAAAGGAATTTTATTTTTATTAGAATAAAAAATTTGCAGCTGTTTAACAAAAAACATTGCTTTCTAATATTTCTGTTAATTATATCAGCGAAACTGCCGTGGTGTGGTGCTGTTTTCGGGTTTTTATTTGGTAACTTGTTGCTTTCTTATTATGGTTAGGATTTCCTTTTAATGCTCTGTCTCCATCTACCTCTTGATTTTCATTTATTTTTTTAATGTGCTCTCTGTTATGATAGTGACAGTATGGTGATTGTTTCAGTATCAGTTACCAAATTTTTTTTTTTATAGTATGTGTCCTTAGCAGTTAAAGGAATTATATTGTATTTTTCCCCTTCTAAGTTTTCAAGTATAGTTTTGTGCCTGTGTTTTGCTTGTATGTCTCTCTGGATATGAAGACTTGTAAATTTTCTTGCTTTTTTTGTAGGTTTTTTCAATTTTACTCAGTGGGCATTCTACCTATTTGCCTTTGTTGCTGCCAGTGTGGCAATAACAACTAAAACTATTATTGTCTGTTTTTGGATCTTAAAATGTTTTAATGACAACAAGAATTTGGGCTCAGCTGGTGATGCATTTCAGAACTACAAAAATTGACTATAATTGCAACAGAGCCTGTGATTGGATCTATGTTTATTATTAATATATAATCCTATGTCTAGGCATTTTTAGTTACTGATTAGCCAGATTTCCATAGAAATACAAAAGTGGGTAAGTTTAACCACAAAGCTGGGGTGATGTATTTGTAAACACTGTTGTAGTGAGAGCTCAGAAGCAGTCATGATATCCTATAATAAAGTCTGTGTGGCAGGACAGTGGTGTGTGCCTAAGGGTTTGTTACCATTAGCATATGGGCTCTTGAGAAGGAATGTAAAGACTCAACTTCCTCATGATGTAGACCACTTGGGAAATTTTTTTTTTACTGATGATTTACGTAATTCTTTTACCAAGGAAGGAACATAGGAGTATTTCCTGCTTTACAGATGAGTAGATGGAGTTCCAGTTGCTGAGTGACTAAATTGCTTCACCTGTCTAACAGATGTTCAATAAAACCCATTTTCTCTAATCTCTGCTGTGTGATTTGGTAGTAAGAAGGACTTGCAGTTGTTGTGGTAGTACCTTGCTTTAGGACAGAAGAAAGAATTCTTAAAATCCCCAGAGGAAGGCTACAAAACCTCATGAGTTCCCTAGCAGCAGTGTGCTGATGAAGTGGGAGTTCTTCATCTCCAGTGTGTAGTAGGTAGAGAACAGCTGTGGTTTATCAGGTCTGTGTTCCCATGGGCCTGGGAAGTAGTCATTGTGTATTCATTAATTCATCTCATATTGAATAAGCAGCCATGGAAGAGCACCTTTTCCATGTTTATTTTCTGTGATTCAAAAAATCTTAATGGTAGCTTCCTGAAAGCTTTCAAGAGTATGACAGAGATGATCATGTTCTTGCATGCTGTGCTAAGATGATAAATGGGCCTTCAAGGCACTCGGAAGGCATTTTAAAAAAAAAAAAAAAAAAACAACAAAATGGGAAATCCACTAACCTGACCTCAAAGAATCTGCTGGCTGGAGGAAAACCTTTGTGAGATAGGGAAATGAAAAATTAGTGGAGGTGCACTTGGATGCAGTATGTTTTAGACAGCAAGTGCATTGCTCACAAAGTTATTTGGACCTTAAATAACTTCGTATGTATGTATGTACATAACTAAAACCTGTTCTAAATAGACCATTTCTTTCCTTCTACCTCTCCAAAACCACGGATCATATTTCAGTGATTAGATTAATCTCTTTCAGGTTTGAGGTTCTTTCCTCCTTTTTTGTCACACATTTGCAATATGAAATATTTCATTTGACTAATTACCTTTATTTAATGACTAATCTGGCTTTATGCAAGTTCATTTGGATCGCTTCCTCTTTCTGACTTCAGGGTAGAATACTTATGTGGAATATAATGGCAAAGGAGGCTCCTGCTCCAGTCAGTTTACATTGTGTGGGCTGTGAGAGACTGAAGGCTCTGTATGAGACAATTCACTAGCTATGTGGTGGGATCTACATCCATCCATAGGTGTCTTTGTGTTAAATTTCTGTTTGTATTAAATTCAGAGATTCACTACCTGGGAACTGTAATATTATGGCCTTACAGGTTACAGAATCTTTCAAAATGCTGCTTCCACATTTTTTATTCAGTACCTTTATCAGCATAAAAGTTGTTGCTACAGAACCAAGGAGAAGATTTGAAAAGGAAATGATGAGGAAGAGAAGGTGATGCCTTGTGAAGGCTGACCTAGAAGAGAGGCTAGACAGAGCTAAAGAATGAAGTAGGTATTTATTAGAACGCCTCAGTGGTTACACCCTGGGCAGCACAAGAGCCCAGCCAGGGCTACACCCAAGATGAACCCAAAATGGTCACACAATGGACAACCGGGCACGGGGTCTCACACTTTTATAAGTTCTGGTCCATTAGCATATTGGAGTTAATTTTCCAATTACAGCTTTAGCCCATTAAGTCCCTTCTTGTTTTTCTCTCTTCAGTCCATCGCTCTCAGGCCTGAGATCTGGGTTGGCTGTCCTTGGTCCCCAGTTAGAGAAGGAATTGTTTTGTCTCCCTACTCTGTGAAGAGAGCTTACCATCCCCTAATATGAAGCCCAGACCCACACACTAAAGAAGCACAGAATCTGGAAAATAGAAAAGCTAAAACCTCAGGCATCAAAGGTGTGCATGAAGTTAGGGGGTGATAATTTGTTCTTCAGTTTCTTGCCTTGAATGAGTCTGAATGAAGATAACTTTTGACTGTGAAGGATCAGGACCAAGGAAGGCATTTTCCCAGGCCATATTGAAAGAGAGGAGGTGGCAAGTTGGTAACTCCCTCTGTAGTCTCAGCTTCGTTGAAGACTTAAAGTGTGGTTTTGAAGTCATAAGTGTGTGTAAATCATGGCCACACTGGAGTCACACACTAAGACAACAGAATTTCCTTCTTTGTAGACAGCAAGTGTTTCCATGAGTCATAGAATTAAATTAGCTTTTACTTGCCCTCAGCTCCTCAATCTTTTTTTTTTGTCACAAGGCTGACTGATTTTGATATCTAAAAAAAACCTGGCTCCAGTTGAAACTTACCTTGGATCAAGTATAAGGGCTCCCCTCTGTGGATTTTACTAGCATCAAGCATTGAGTGGGATTGAAGGCAACCTTTCTATGACAGGAGGACTGTCTTCTATAGAAACACCTATTTTTATAAAGCACATTAGGATTTCATATTTATATTGCCCTGCTCTTTTGTCAAACTTGATTAGAAATTGGCTGCTGGGTTTTAAGCACTGCTGTGGAGGAAGATAATTGAAGTGTGATCCCATAAATTTGATTTGCTTTAGGAAGCTATGAGGATAAAGTTTTTAGTACTTGCATTGGCAAAGAAAAAATGCACATATGAACAGCAGGAAATGGCTGCATGTGGGAATGTCTGAGCCACTAGAGAAGGCTGCAGGAGGAGCTGAAGTGGTCATTCTGGCAGGCAGGGATGGCTGGTATTAGTCAGGGCTGTCTGAAGGAGAGAGCTCTTACTTTTTTTGTTCCCCTGAATTGGTGTGTTTCATAGTAAATGAAATGTTGAAAGTCTTATTTTTTACTTTTCTCTTTCACAAGAGTACAGATTTTGAAGACTATTTTTTAGGATAGGTTGCCAGCATTTCAGAAATAGCCAGTATGGCAAGAAGGTAAACTCACTCTGGATGCTGAACTTAGACTTGGACTGCCCCCTTCTGCTAGCAGGGGTTAGAACTTGTTGTTAGTGCTCAGGAAAAAGGCTGTGGCACCCTTTACTGCCTTACCTGCTTCACTGGAGCTTGGTCACAGCCTTTACTTGCAGCGCAAATCTGTTCTTGAGGTCTGCTGTAAGTTTCCAATTGCTGAAATATCTCTTGGACTGGGTTCGTTTTATGCATTGAAACTGCAGTGACTATGGCTATGACAATGGCTATGTTTTGGGGCTTGTCCTGTTTCCAGAATTGGAAATAAAGGGTTTTAAAACCTGTAGACTTTGAAGTCTATTTGAATTAATGTAGGAGAATTGTTTTTTGTTAACACTTTGAGTTGTCTTAATGCTTTCCTGAAATCCACGTGATTTCACATTTAGACACTGCTGGATATAACTGAACATATGAGAGTTTGTAATTTTCTCAGTAAGAATTGTTTGATCTCACTCCAGCAAAAATGTTATGTGACATAATAGCTCTGAAATTGCTTGAGGCATTGAGAAATTACATTGCAGCATGAGGCTTGTTCTGCTGACTAAAATGTGGGGGGATTTAGCTTTTCTTTATTTTTTTCTTTTTCTTGTCCTCTTCCCTAGGAATGTTTCGGAAAAATGAAGACTTGACTCCATCACAGAGGTGTTTGGCTGTAAGGTAGGCTTTCAGACATTCTGCTTTGGGGATGTTTTGTGTATTTTCTTAATGCTCTGTGCAGTTTCTATGGCTCAGGTTCAAGACAGAGTTTACAAGCTCATGTAACAGATCCATGTTTTTATATATTTTTAGTTTAATTTGTACACCTGTTCTTCTGAAAAATATCACTAAGGAGTAGATTTTGTAGTTATTCAGGAAAAAAATATTCTAAGTTCTATGCAGTGTATGCAAATGAATGCCTTATCAGATAGGAGGCTAGTAAACAGTACACATATGAAGTAGCTGGTGAAGAAACATTGTTAAATTCGGTTTTTCACTATTTAACTTGCCTTTTCTCAGTTTTTTTATTCAGGACACTTGAAAATAGTATGTTGCTTTGGGAAAGAGAATGTTGAGACATTTGCTTTAATTGAAATTATTGCCAGTTAACCCAGACCTTTGTTTATTGATTCAATTGTTGAGGGAAAAATAGAGAACTTTATACAGTTGAACACTTAGGAAAACAGCCTTCCCTTTCCTTCCTCGGGCTCAGCTTCAGTCAAACACCTCTGCTGGGCAAGGAGAGACTCAGTAGAGTTCAGGAGGTCTGTCTCAAAATGCCCAGTATGGACTGGAAAGAAATGCTGTGTGTAGAATGTTTCAAACTGTGATTCCAAAAGACAGACAAACTGCTCTTGTCCATGTGGTTTTTACTGCAGTTAGAGGGAGCAATGGCATGGAGTATGACTTTTCCTACTGTGGAAATCCTGAAGAACTACACAATCCATCTCACGAGTTGCTTGTCTTTGAATTACAGACGCATGCCAAGTCTACTGGAGTATTTAAGTTACAACTGTAATTTCATGGGTATCCTGGCAGGCCCGTTATGCTCTTACAAAGACTATATTACTTTCATTGAAGGCAGATCATACCAACTGCAACAGTCTGAAGCAAATGGGAAGGAAGATACAAAGTATGAACAAACGGATCCTTCCCCAAATGTAAGATGTATGACTCTTGCAGTGCTGATGCTTATGGAATCATTGCATGGAAAGCTTGGTTTGCACTCTTCATTTACAGGCGTAACTGCTGAGCTGAATCTGGAGTTCATTCATCAACGGAATAGTTCCCTGTTCAAAAAGTTATATGCTTATTTTTTAAAGGCAGGTTTTCTACATGGATTCCAGTCTCAATCTTGTGGATAAAAGCAGATTAATTTGGAGCTTCCTAACAAGCTTATGTGGTAAAAAGCCATCTTTAAATTAAAACTGTTCATGCATGTTCACTTCAAAGCATATACTGTGCATAAAAAACCAGTCATATGTAACAAATTGAAAAAGTCATAGAAATAGTTTCATTTTTCATGCTTGCAGTCATGTAGTGAGGTATTAAAGGAGGATTTTGATCTGAAGGTGTAGTGAAAGATGTACTAGCCATAACACTATGAACAATACTTCAAGACACATAAGTCTTTTTTTTTCCTTTGGTTTATTATTGGAGAAGAGACCAAATGCATAGAGAAGATAATCCAGTTGATCATGCCTTACAGGAGAGATTGTATGACCTGAATTTAAATCAAAAGCTCACAAACTTGTTACTTTTAAAATTTAGTCCAATTAGGTTAATGCCCAGAGTATTGAATATTATTTTTTCACTCTTTTCATATTGTCTTAAATAGTAATGTATCAGGCATTTAAATTTACATGTGCCTAAGATAATTCTTACTTCACATAAGAGGCAGAATTATCATGGGGTCAGTTGGAACATTTCACATGGATGGCTTTTGCTAATTCCAGCTCCAGTTGCCCTTGTTCTGCTTATCTTGTGAGAACAGCTGTTGCTGGAGCAGATGGAGGCGTTCCCACATGTAGCTGCTTGTCTTGTCCTACCATCAGAGGTTATGGCCCCACAGCTGGGCCAGCAGGGAGTGCATCCTAATCACTTGGGGCATCTCCAACCACTTCCATCCTTGGAAAGTGGGTGAGGACTCTTTGCATGTTCCGTTCTACCCATCTTGTGTGATTGTGGTAACTTGCACAGCTGGAATCTAAACTCATGGCTAGAGGATGATAACACTTGAAGGAGCTCCACAAATTGACAGAGCATATGAGCTCACACAAGTGAGCTGTGAAACATAGGAAGGGTGAAAGACACAGAGAATTCCTTGTGTAGATCAGCATCACATGGCCCATGCTGTGCTTTGATGTGTTGTATTGACAAAGTCACAGGCACTTCTGTTTCTAAACATTGTTTTGGCCCAGTAAAGTCTTGTGTACTAAAATCCTATTTCTGCAGAAAAGTGTTATGTAGTAAAATTATTGCAAATGAATGGAGGTAAACCAGACCTGCTTGTATCAGTACTTCTGGACACACACCCACTGATTGCCTGATAGGACTTCCTGGCTTTTTACCACATAATCTTGCTAGTAATATGGACAAGGTCAATAGAAATAAATATATACCTATGATGGCTTCTTCTTTCAGGTAAGTAGTTTTCCTTAAAATTATTTGCTCTTAAGATGCTTGAAACTTTTGCAATTTATGCTGCATTAGCTTTTGACATAAAAACAAAGAGAAGCTGTTTATGCTCCTGATACTTCATCTCCCAACTGGTGTTAGAGAAATCTGGCTGCATTTTATAACACCAGTGAGTATTGTGTGCTTTTGGAGAAAGATGAATGACACAATTTTACTGCATTTGCTGTATCAATTAAAATACTCTTTGTCTTGTTCTAGAAGAGTGTTTAAATACCATTGACTTTATATTAGTACTTTAAATTTGTTATTATTTCAAGAAAAATAAATTTTTAGGTAACTCAAAAATTTGAAATGTAGTGGGGATCAGCAAATGTTAATGTCATAAATAAAAAAGAACTCTTGAGCTGAGTTACAGTAAGTTTCATTTCTTGTTAAATACAATTACATAACTGAAGTAGTTCATGCCAGCCTCCTCCTCTATACTGTGTGTTCACTGCATGATGTTAACTTGGATTAGTACTTTTGCTGTGTTCATTGCATGTTAAATGAATCAAGTCACCGTATTAAAACTTACTTCTTATATCCCTCCTATTGTGCCTTTTTGCAAGCTATCAGTTGTTGGTGCTCAAAGTGGTGTCAACTCTCAGAAATTAATATCTGTCTTTGTAAGTTTCTTTTTATTATGGCTACCCTTAAAATACAAGATTCCTGTCAGCAGATTCTGCTTTCTTGCTTATTATGCAGAATCTTCCTACAGGTTATAATGTTCTTGCTTAAATATCTGTAGTTTTTGTCTGAGGTACCAACCTCTCCAGAATAATGTGCTTTAATACGGTTCAAAATTATGTATTATGTACTGATTATTTATCAAATCAAGAACAAGCTCATTCAAATAAAATTTTTGAAGATTCGTCTCTACTTTTTTAAATCTATTTTTATATGTTATACATGTTCATGCAGTAACTTATTGCTAAAATTTCTGAGCTCTGTGAGTGTTTTACATTTATTTCTTCAATTAGAATGCTGCTCCTGAGCCCCTTTCTCCAATTAGGTATCTAGCTTTCAACCTAATTATATTCCCATCTAATTTTTTCACATCTAGTTTTGTCCTGGCACTGTCTTCTAGTTTAAGTACCTCCTTCCCTTCCCAGTGTTGATCATATTTCATATTTTTATACAGATATGCCCAGTTGTTTATCAAAACTGGATGAGACAGGTCTTTTTACCTTTTTGTTGTAAAATAATTTGTATTTTGTGCTTCTTCTGAAGTCAAAGTTATCTTGCATCTTATTGTCTTTTAATTCCTTAGCAGAACAGTTATTTTGCTATGTTGAAAACTTAAAAGAGTAAATGAAATGAAACTTCAAATTTCTTCATCCTTGTAAAAATCGACCGACCCTCCTACGTGACTGCATTTCAGTGATTTCCCATTTATGCCTTGGCAAAGGAAGGTTAATTAAGTAATAGGAAGTGAATTAATGTTTTACCAAATGCATTTCAATAGGTAATTGAAAAATTGAACAATGATTTTGTTGGTTTCAGTAGTTTGAGTCAGATAATTTGATTAGTCTGAAAATAACTTGTCATGAAAAAACAAAACAAAAAACCACCAAAGCCTACCAAACATACCACCACACCTTCCCACCAAAAAAATTTCCAAACAACAAATGCCTCCCCTCAAAATGCCAAAAAATTAGGTTTTGATCTGATTTGTTTCTCTAATCTGACTCAGCCTAAGGAGCACGAGCCAAACCTGCAGGGAAGGAGTGGAGCGAGGGCAGGACTCCTTTGCATTGCAGCCTGTGTTTGGCTTGGCCTTCAGAAACTCTGCTTAAACCAGTCTGGAAACAGCAGCTCCCCAGCTTTGTAGAGGTGGGAGATTTATTTCCACCACAGTTTTCCAAGGACACTGTTATCCCTGATTCTGATCCCTGTAAGTGCTATTAGCAAGCTGGGATTTATAATTATTGAGTGAAGTAGTGCAGTTAAAAAAAAAAAAAGTCGTGTTTATGGCAGAGTACTGTATGAGTTCATTTTTTTTTCTTAAAATAAATTTTCTTTAAACCCTGATGCTCTTTTGTAAAAGAGGTGTTTTCAACTCCACAATTTAGTTAAGAACCTTCAGAGAAATACAAAGTATATTTGGTGTTGAATAGGCAGGTGAGTGCCATCTAACAGTTTGCTAACAGAAAAATTGGCAAATAGAAGCAGTGGCACAAAGCAGGTCTTTGAACAGAGATAACATTATAAGTGGCCAAAACATTTTTTGAGACTTTGTGGTCATCTTCAGATGGAAAGAACCTATTTTATGTATTCATACTTAGGTTTTAATTTACATGTTACTGCTACCAGCTTATAAGTATTGTTCCTCTTGCAGAATTGAACACGACTTGCAATTATAACTTAGGCCTTAAAATTAAATCCTTGCAAATGTCTTCAGAACTTGGGGTGATGCCTTCTGATATTTACAGATACCAGATTTTTGCATTTGTCAGATACTGCATACCAGAATTAAAGATTCATTACTTGTAGTAGTAACTGATTTTATGAACATACATTTCTATTGAAGATCCTGAAGGTGTTAAGCCAACTGAACTTTCCTGCTGCTGTAGCAAAGAGAGAGATTATTAATAGTTCTGGAATAACAAAGGAACACTTAGAAAATTAATGCTCTTCACATTAAACTCTTGTAATAGAATAAAGTATTAAAATGAAGTTAATTAGAAAGCAAGTAGAAACAAATAATTAAGCACTAGCTTTAACCATTAATAGGTAGTTGCCTTCTGAATTATCTGGCTGATGTTTCATTTTAAATCGCTGGGATTCCTGATCCTCTCTGAGATGAGCCAAGTGAAATATATGCAATATCCAAAAATACCCTCACTGTTTTACAGCTTTTCCAAGTCTAATTCTTTAATCAATTTGTACCACTTCTTACATCTGTGCAAGTGGGTGAATCTTTGATACTGTGTGTCTTGCCAAAGTGTGTGCTTTCAGCTGGACATTTACTGCCCCATTCTGTATCATGGAAAAAAATTGCCCTTTATTTTGGAACTAGATGTTGAGCTGAACTCTCAGTGAAGCAGGATGTTATCTTTAAAAGTTTGGGTGGGTGTACTGGAAGCAGCACAGACAGATTCTGGTTATATTTTTGTTCAGATGCTTCAAAAAAAAGTAGATTGATTGTTTTCTTGTCAAGTTTAGTATCTGTATAATTGTAATGTAAAATAAAACAGTAATGTTTAAATATTGAGATTACATAAAATAAAAGCTTGAAAATTACATTTCAATGAATTAGCTCTCAAGCTTCTCTTGTTGGTGCTTGCTTTAGTGTGTTACTGGGGTCTTTCACAAAACATGGTGTCTGCCCTTCAGATGTGGATCAGACTAGTGACTTGGAGCAGCCAGTGTCAGGCATATATTGCTCTGTATATTTTATAACAGAACCTTAGAAAAGTTCTACTGAAGATACATACTCTTTCCTGTGGTGGTTATAGCAAAGCTGAGTTTTGAGAGAATTTGAGTAGGTCCTGTCTGAACAACACACTTGGACATATCTGTGAGCATATTATTTGTACCATTGGAGCTTGATCACTCTGATTGGGAAAACAGGTCTATCTAGAACTGATTGGCTGAACTTTGGGCTGAAATTCATAAATCATTTCAGTATTTTAGTTGGTTTAAAATTTAGATGCTTTGATAACGTAACAGAGATGAGTGATGTATTGAGTTGGGCAGAAATTGAACACCTGCATTATGCCAAAGGGTCCTGAAAAGCAACTGAAGTTTTGCCATTGTTCTGGAATCTCTGCAGTAATAATCTTACTTTGTCCTAGATTATATGTTTTGTGTTATGATGTCTTAACAATTTAATTGCTTCAGTAATTTGACAAGAAAATAAGAAAAAAAACCCTGACTTGCAACAGGTGCTATGGTTATTAAAAGGACTTTTAGAGACTCACTGTAGTCAGACTGGATTTATTGTGTTGACCATGGGAAGTGATGCTCACAACTTAATCAATATAACAATATTCCTTAAGTCGCTATAAAACAGATTTTTTAATAAACTATTTTAAAGTTGCTAGTATATATATTACTGAAAAATTAACATATGTATATGTTATAACTTTCCTTTATTTCCAAAAGATAAACAAAAAAAAGAAGCTTACAGAATCTCCCTTAAATTTTCAGATAGCTGTGGCACAGAAACTCTTGATCTGTGGGCTGTCCTTACTCTTCCACATGACTATTACAAAAACTTTGCCTGTGGAATACAACATTGATGATAACTTCAGAGCTACAGCATCATGGCCTGTAAGGTTTTTCTACCTGTATGTGTCTCTTATGGCTGCCAGACCCAAGTATTATTTTGCATGGACTTTAGGTAAGTACATGCTTAAAAATATAATAATAACCAAAAGAGTATTGATGAGTATCAAAGAGTACTGAGTCATCTGAGATGTGCACACTTAAGTGTGTATTAAAAAGTGCCAGTGCCCTCTTGAGGCCTTAGGAAAACCTGATTGCATTTAAGTCTTTCAAGGTGTTAAGTACATTGAATAGTGTCTCTCATTTTCAGAAACGATCACTCTCTTTTTGGCGAGTGATAGTGTTTCAATGACAAGTAACTTTAAAAAAAGAAAAAATAGTAGTAAATCTAGTCTGATGTATAATCCTTCTTTTTGTTTGTGTTTTTTAAAAACTTATTTTGATACCTTTATTTTTTGGCATATCTTCAAAGATAATTTTAACCTCTTTCTGTGGTTAGTTATCAGTAATTTTCTTGATGTTATTCAATCACAAAGGAAAATGAATACTTTGGAATTCAGGTACATGATACTGTTGTAATAGTAGGTGGCATTTTCAGAATTTGATGGGTGACACTTCAGTTTTAGCCTTTGTTTACTAAAAGTTTGAATGACTGGTGGGATAACATGCTTAGTAACTTATTTAAGACACTTGAACAGTTTAAAGAATATGTTGCATTTCCGTTCATGTTGCTTGTAAAAAAACAACGTGTACAACAGGAAGATGTTTTATTTCAGTAAGCTGACATCTTGAAAGTGGCTCACACAACAGATTTCATCAGCTTCCTCCTCCTCTCCAGTTTTACATATTAGTCTGATAGTTCTTTTGAGAGAAAATCTGTGGGAACAATGCAATAAAGAAAGCTTTAGGGTAGCAGAGCAGCATGACTCATTTACAGCTGCTGGTTTCATTCCTGGTCAATGAATTAAATGCTTTCAGCTTGTCTGGATAGAGTAGTTCTGGGGCTTGCTGTGGAAATAAATACTTTTGAATATTGTGCTCTTATACACCCATATCATCATCTATAAATAGTAGTTGTCATCTGAAAAGCGAATAATTTCAGTTGAGCTTTTTTTTGCCTTTAATACTTCAGGTGGATTCCTCTTTGTGCGCTTGCTAGCAGTGTAGAGCTAGCATTCCTCTGGTAAATACCAAAGAAAATAAACGATGCCAACTCTGTACTTCTAGTTTGTTAGCCTTCTTTCTTCCACTTGTCACATCTAAACTTGTAATGGTAGGAGTAGAATGTGACGGGCTTTAACAGTTTTACTGGATGTCACACCTTTGAGTTGTACATTTCTATTCTTTACACTTAAAAAAAATGTTAATGAAATTAATTGCTTAAAATGAATACTAAAATGCTGGTTAATAAAATGAGCACTTAATCTAGTTACAGTCTTTGCATTCTAGCTTGCAAAAGATGATGGAGTTTGTGTTTCCAGCTGTTTCTAATTGAGCGTGAAACTATTGCCCAGTATTTGAAGTTGGCATAGCAACATCAGATGTAAGGCAGCAAATTTTGTTACTTTCAAAGATGTTTTTAAAAGAAATTTCAAAAGGAAGTAAAAATATTATAAATTCAAAGACATGTCATTTCCTTGTGTGTGGCCATCCTAATTTGGAAAATACAGTTGAGGAAATGTTAGTGTCTGAACTAACAAAGCTCAGACAAAGCTGATGAGTGACGCTGACAGGCAGTAGAGATCCCTTGTATTTTCATGCATAGTCCAGATGACAGTAGCAGCTTTTTCTCCTTGGGAAAAATATTGTTTGCTTGGAACGTCTGACCTTTGACATGCACTGTAAACACTTCACATTCAAAGGTGTTGTAACAGTGGCCTTGTGCCATTAGTGGAAGTTTGACGAGCTCTGCATTCCTTAGAAAATTACTGGTTTTGTCTGTTAGGTTTGTGCTGCTCTCCGTGGGGTGCTGTGAATGTGCACCTGCATGGAGGGAATCACACAATTTAATCTTTATGCTTTAAGCATCACTGTTGCTGCATAATGAAGACCAAAGACATGCATGTGAACATTGAGCTGCTGTTTCAAATCATTACAACCAGCTACTGTTTTGTAGTCTTGATGCATCTCATTGAGTTTGTTTTTCTGTCTGATTGCTCAAGCAAGTCTAAGTAGGTGGTATGGGAGACAGGGAACATCTGTACTGTGAAGTAGCTAGTGCTACCTCTCATTCTTATGCTTTTGTGCAAGTTTTTGAATTGGAGTCTAGTGTTGCTTGGATTTGCTTCTGTTTGTTCAAGTGATCCTCAATATTTAAGAGAAAAAATAAATGTATTCTTTAAAACACGATAAATGTTTTTAACAAACTACACGTTGTGTGATGCACAATTTGTAATACAGACAGTTTATAATTAATTTGTTTCTTCCTGTCTTATTGCAGCAGATGCAATTAATAATGCAGCGGGGTTTGGCTTTAGAGGCTACGATAAAAATGGAGGTACACGTTGGGATCTAATATCAAACCTGAGAATCCAGCAAATAGAGGTTTGTTTCTGGTTCTTTAAAAAAAACCCACATGCCCATGTAGGTAGTTACTCTTAATTTCAGTAACTTTTCCTACATATTTGTTCCTTTAGATAGTGAATATGTTCTAAGTCAAAAATTATGTGTTCACACCTTTATAAAAGGGTGGAAATAGTCTGTTTTGAACATGTTCTACTTGTCAATTGACTTCCAGAATATTCTGTGCTTAGAAGTAGTTGAGTAAATAACTTCTTCAACTCATCAAATATGGGTGGGAGGATTTATAATTTATACACAAGAATTATGAAACACATTGTGATACACGGCAATTATGGAAATAATTAGTTTGTTTTACTTTACAGTTTTCCACAAGTTTCAAGATGTTTCTTGATAACTGGAATATCCAAACAGCTCTTTGGCTCAAAAGGTATTTATTTCTTAAAGGAATTTTTTTTCCACTGAAGTTTCTGAGATAAATATTTCTTTGAAGATGGTATAACATTTGAAGCTAACTCCCACAAAATTTCACTTGTGGAGGAGATTCTTCTTGTAATACTTGAAGTAAAGCCTCTGAGTTTAGGACTTCTCTCTAAGTGTAAACTATCAGGTTATGATAGAATCTGTTTTTCTTCATGTGCCATAGAGAACCTAAAACTGTTAATCTGTGGAGGTGTCTTTTATCCCTCCCTTAGCATTCAGCCAGTGCATGTTGCTGAGAGCAGCAGGCAAAGTGTCCATCTCAGCCTCTGAAGGCTCTGCATGATTTTTAGCCACAGAGTGATACAGGAATTTCCGTATGTTCTGTGAGAGAACTTTCTGTGCTCCTTCCATTATGAATGTATGACAGACATCAAACCCTACAATGTGCTGTCAGCAAAAATTCCAAATGACTTTCTCCCAGCTGCACTCTTTTTCCTTGTCTGGGGCCAGGTACAGTGCCCTGTGAATTACATCATTCTGCTTCTTTGTGGTAAGGAGAAAGTAGCAGTGTTCTTGAGTAGCTCATGGGTGTTGTTTCCCTTCTTCCAGTCAGACAGTTGAGTTTTCTCCTATCCACAGGTGCAAATTTAACTGAAACCCCTATCTTGGAATTTACCTCTTATTCTAGGATAGCTGACAACTGGATGTCTCTTCCATAAAATTTCTTCATAGTATTTTCTCTTTCTTCCATAATTTCATCCCTAAATATTTTGCTCACCCAGTTTAAAAAAGAAATTGAATTTTATGTGATTATTCTGGTTGGCTCAATAGTCAGTGGAATCTATTGCTAGGACAGTCAACAAAAAATTGAATGTCTGCAGGTATTGAAATGTAACATTTCAGAAACGGAATATGTAATTTAGCTGTTTTGATTTAGTTAGAGAACAGAAGTTTAACAGTATTAAAACATAATAGGACTTTCAAATCTCCTAAACAGAATGATTTTAAACAAAAATTATTAGTGAAGAAGCATAATATTTCTGTTAAAAATCAAAAGAAAAAAATGCAAGTCAATTGCTCAGGGTGATGATAAAAGAAGATGTGAAGAAAATTAAAGCATCTCTTTTAATAAGTATTTTTAAAACAATAATAATAGAATACTTGGGGATGGTGTAAATTTATTCTGTCAAAGTGAAAGGGTGTGGAAAGGTGGATGTTCTGTGAAAGTTTTGTTGCAAGTAAAATAGGTCCATAAACATCGGTAGAGAATGTATACTTGTTGAATGTATACTTTGTTACTAATCATTTGGTTAGTTGCAATGCTCCAACAATTTGCATAGAGGACAAACTCATGGATTACTTTAAACATCCACTTTTAATAACTCACTTTTTTTACCCTTTATAGAAGTACCTAAAACTTCAGCCATTTATCTCACATGAAAACCAGACATTAGCATTTTTTCTGTTCTTTTCTGAAAATCGTAGAAACAGAACCATCAGAACCAGCCGTTAAAGCCTGATTGTGGTAAAAAACAAACTTGTAAAAAACACAGTTAATGGAGCTACAGATGACAAAGAGGTTTAGTAAATATTTAATGTAGATCATGGTATACAGCAATTTAAAGGCATTATTGTTACAAGCATGTAAGCTAAAATAGATATTTATATAGTAGCATATATCAACAATATATAGCATTAAAATGTTTCCTGCCTGGGAAAGCTGTTATGTTCCCCTCAGCCTGTTCTTTCTCTTTTCCAAAGAAACCATCTCATCCCATTTGTCTTTGGTCATGTTTGCAAAACCTCTGTGGTTCTTGTTGCTCAATTCTGACAAACCTCCTGTCTTCTTAGAGTAGATGTAGTACTTCTGCTAAGACCTTCAAGATTTTTCCCTGGCTTTTTAGGGGCAGAGAAGATTAATTTGAGTGGATTAGTTATAATTATTTTCTTTGGGTAATATTGTGATGTATCAGAAAGGGTGTTACCTGTCTTTTTTACAGCAGCAATCTACTGTTGATTCATGCTTAGCTGATACTCAGTGTTTCATACTGTTGATCCATATTCATACTCAGCTACACTTTTTGAGTAATGTTACAGGAATGGTATTGGTTTGTGTCTTCCACTTTTCTTGTTAGATGTTCTATGCTTTGGACTTCATCTTGTTGATTTCAGAACATCCTTCAAGTCTGCCAGGATCATTTTGAATTCTAGTGCTCTCTACTAAGAAAACAATGCCAATCTCATCCATCCCACCTTCCACCTCAAAAAAGGAAGGGAAGACAAGGTGGAAGAAATACTTCTCAGTCTACCACCTAAGTTAGTAAATACATCATAAAACCAGACTGCAGACAGTACCTTGCTGAACAGTTGATGCATCTTACCACTTATAGAGCATTATGGATAACCTGAACCACCTATATTTGAATAGATTTTCTCAACCTGTTGTGATGACCATATTTCCTTCATTTGTTTCTAGGATTGTCAAATGAAGTATTTGAACATGATTTATTATTGCTAAATCCATGGGAGCATTTAAGTTTACTTTTTACTCTTTGAAATTGAAATCTGAGGAATTTTTTTGTACTGTTTTACCTCACTTGCATTGATACAGCTGAAATTTGGTTAGTTAATTTAGTGAGTTTTGTTTGCTCCTGAATGCTTTCCAGGGATAATTTCAGTACTTTAAATCACATAAAGATTGAAGACATATATCACTTTATTAATGAGGTGTAATTAGCCACCAGTCATAAACATTTAGAATTAATAGCAGTATTAGAACACATAACATTTCATTTCATTTAGTGCTTTGGTGTAATAGACATTTTTAAACACTCTTCTGCAACTAATCTCAAGCAGATTAAAAAGCACACATGTATGTACACAATTACATGTGAACTGCACCTTCTCTTCTGAGGATGGATGGGATACAAAACCCTGCTTGCATGCACTGCCTTTGGGAGATGTGGGTGCTCCAGCTTGGTGTGAATCTGGTGATTTCACATGCCCCCTAGAAAAGCCTGGCACAAATCCATGTGCCTGCAGCTGACAGGGATGAGACACTGGCATGATGCACTGCACTGACAGGCCCCTGTCTGGATGCAGCTACTCTGTGTCTACCAGGGATGCTCTGTCTTGGCCAAGACAGAGGTCATTGTGTTGGTGGGGTGACTTCTGGCAGTGTCAGCTGAGGTTTTGATGAAAAGTATTTTGCTCTAAGATGTCTCTGACTCGGTGCACATTTTCCCAATGCTTTGCTACTCCTGAGGCTGATAGATTCATTGTCCAAAATGTCTCGATTTACTATTCAGCCTGGCCAATGTGGCTTTTCTCTTTAAGGTGTTTTGAGCAAATGACCTCAGACAGTTTTAAGTATTAGGCCAGCCCCATGTTCTCATCTTAATTGCCACTGTGAGTGAAGCCCTTTAGCAAGAGGGGGTTGTGCACATATCCCACTGAAGATCTCATAAGATAAAACTTACCACATCTATTTGACTGAAATAAACTAAATTAGGAAATTACACTTTTAATCTTCCCCTATTCAGATCTTGTCTTTTTGCCTTCTGTTCTTCAACACAGACTACATCAATAGGTTTCAGTATTCTTTATGTGGAAGTTGCAGTAGTTAGATTGGTAGTGGATGTTGTGGCTCTTGGTATCATTAGCTTGTCATCTTTGAATAACAGATGTGCATTCTCTTCTCTCTCTCTGTTACTTGCTGTGTGGTTATAAAACCTTTTTACATATTCATGTCTATAGCCTTTTTAGTTAAAACTCATTTTTGTATGTTAGCCATAGATTTGTGCTCATGCATGCTAGTGGTGTTTATTTTTGCTTTGTTAGTTTGTATCTGTTTCCATATTTCCTATTGCTTTTTTGGTTTTCAGATCATTAAAGGCATTAAAGAACTCTTGATGAAGCCATATCAGGACTTTACCATGTTTCCTATCATTCTTCCACATCATGATGGTTTGTCATTGTGTCACATAATGTTGTCTTCTAGAAACCACCTTTCTTGGATTCCTTTTTCCCTTCTTCCTTCTAGAATTCCTTATTATAGGATGTTGCCTAGTAATTCAGTCTCAATTTTAAAATAACAGAGTTCAGCATTCTCCTTATTTAATACTCTCTCAGCACTAGAGAATTTATTACAATTTCATTGTCATGCTCACCTAATTGTGTCACACAGACACTTTTTCAACTGTAGTTTCTTTATTATTCAAAATTGAAGGTAGTTATTTGTTTTCCCCTGTTCCTATAAGCTGCTCTTATTTCATGGAAAACATACCTGACTCATCCCAAGAATCTGGCAGTGGTTTGTGCCTTCCAGTGCAGCTTTTCAAACACATTCTTTGATGGCTCAAGATCCCTTATTAATGCCAAAACTCATCTTTAGATGCTTGTGTATCACTTCATTAGGAATAAGGACAATGTGTGATGGCACTGAGCACAAGTTTAGCACTGAGGGCTGGAATCAGGAGCTGTGAATAGCTTTAAGTATTTTTTTAAGCCATAATATAGTGACAACACCATTAAATAATAGAAAACTGCAATTGCATTGAAACTTCTTTGTTGGAGATGAAACTGGTAAAAGTATAAATGATAGCTGGGAAGACTGGGTGATTTGTTTCATGTTACTTATCTTGATTTGTTTCTGACTTGCTAGAGTGTGCTATGAGCGAGCCACCTTCAGCCCAACGATCCAAACCTTCATTCTTTCTGCCATCTGGCATGGGGTTTATCCAGGATATTATTTAACATTTTTAACAGGAGTACTAATGACATTAGCAGCACGAGCTGTAAGTACCAACCAAGTATCTTCTTAAATAATAAGTTTTGTAAAAGCAAATTGATCATGTTCATTGCTCCAAAGATGCCCTTTACTGTTGATACACAATCTGTCTGATAGTGGTGTTTACTTTTTTTGCTTATGAGAACAATGGGAATGATTAATGAAAAGGAGGACTTGATTGGTGGAAGCAAACAAGACTATACACAGCCTATAACATTTTTGTGGCACCTTTGTATCTTTTGTGGAAGCTCTTCCTCTGTATTAACTGTTAGCATGGTACTGTTAGCATGCTGAACAGGTTGATGTTAACTAAAATAATTTTGAAAAAATCAGTGATGATGAGTAGCTTATTTGGTTGTCAATGCTATATATTTCTAGGGTCTGCCTCATCCCTAATTTCTCTCCAGTACTATTGTAAGGATGATAACTAAAGAATGTTTCCCCTCAAGCAGCACATAAAAATCTCCAGTGCAGTTACTATTTCAAGTTGGTCAGCCAGTAGTGCAGCCACATTAACAAGCTTTTGCAGTTGCTATTCACAACCATATGGAGACAGCAAATCTGCCAAGAAATCTCTCACTGTTCTGCCTGAGAAAGCTGTGTAAGAACAGAGACAGGTTTATCAGTCAGTCAGTGGAAAAGAGGAGCAAATTGCACATCAGATCAGAGCAGCATAACAGCACTTTTTTTGTTGTAAGAACCAGGAGAGTGAGAAATGAAGCAGACTGCTCTGTGGTTGCTGTAATAGCTAGGGGAAGGTTGTGCTTCAGATTTAGATTGCTACTACATCAATAAAACAAATGCTTCTCTTTTTTTCACGAGATATGGGTATAGTCCTTGTTTGACAGAACTGACTCCTTTCTTTACAATAGATACAGCTTTCTTCTTCTTCCAGATCTATCACAGGGAACTTTTGACATTTTTTGACATTTGTCAGCCAGGGGCTGGAGCAAAAGCCAAGGTTCTGGGACAGTTCACAGATAAAACTTGTTTACTTAGTGAGATGAGTCCAGTAAATTGGAGTGCTCACTGCCCTTCATCCTGGGCTAGACTATATTGTATTCATGTTTCCTAAGTATCTATCAATAGGCTAGTAAAAAAACGTTTTCAGTTTCTGTACCAACAGATACTTAATATTAACTAAGATATGTTAGAGCATATTTGTTATTTAACTCTACTAGCCTTTAACTGCAAAGTTTGGCAACAGTGATCCACACTTTGTTCTGTTATGCCTAAGCATGTATCCAACTTATTTTACTGCCTTTAATCATTACAGATTTCATAACTGGGTGTTTACTAGTGGCAGCCATAGATTTGTGTTAAAAGTTGTTTTCCAAGTCCTAAAATACAAGATTAGAAGCAATTTTGTGAAGCTTCATCTGGGTTCCACAGAACTCAGGAACAAGTCCTTGCATGTGACCATAGGAATAACTAGAGGGAGATGGCAGAATGAAGGGTATGTAGCTAGAATTACTTGTTTGACTTAGCTTAACTAAGAAAAGACTGAGTGGGAATGTGGTATCTACAGGGCAATTAGAAGAGGAAGAATAACTAGAAGAGTCAAAAAGAGTTTTTTATGTAAATAATTAAATCAGCAGGATCTAGCTACGGATATGTTCTTTGGAACGAGGAGTTCTAAAGAAACTGAGGGTTAAGGAAGCTGAACAGTGTACTCTGGTGTGCAGCTTTTTTACAGAGAGCACTGCTTCAGTGCAGGTGACTGGGAGGTGGCAACTGTGATATCAAGTTGGGGTCAAAGGCTGAACTGAGCCCATCTTGGTTTGTCAGCATGTAAGAGTGTGAGCAAGGATAACAGTTCAGTCAAAGGAAAGAGAGGCAAAGATTTACTGATGTCTTTACAATTATAGACTTAAATAAAACTGAACCCAACCCTATGTGGGATTTGGAATTGGGTCTTTTAAATACTTCTGGTATTAAACCTTTTGAGCAGAATTTTAGAACAAAAGAAGATTCAGCATAGAAATTTGAGTAATTTTGTAACAATCCCACTTAATTGATCCCACTTAACTTGAAGTTAAGAATCCTGAAATACGTAATTAGAACTGATATTTTGTATATTCTGATATATACCCTACTTTCCTTAAAATATATTTTATTAACAAGTGTATGAAAATGACTTACTATGTAGAAGCTTTTGTCAGAAACATTCTGGCCTTCACTTACTGCAACCCTCTATATTTACAGAATGGCTTGATAGAATACAATGTCTTCCTCATTCAGACAAGCAGTGCAAATTTGCATTGGATTTAGTGTAGGATTAATTTACTTAAATTCTGTTTCAATTAATAAATGCTTAAATTCCCATGCTGAATGAATTGCAGGGAATTTGAGCCTATTCTTCTTGAAGTTGATAGGCATTTTGAATAGTTCAAAGATATTTGACCAAACTGTAGCACGTAAATTCATCCTATGACTTTTGTGTCAATGCAACAAATTGAGCTCTCAGGGTTTATTCCTCAGCTAACTTAGTATTACCTGCTTTTTCAGATAAGAAACAATATCAGACACTATTTTGTTGAATCTCCTGCTGTTAAACTATGTTATGATATTGTAACATGGATGGCAACTCAAGCAGCAATAAGTTACACAGTTGTGCCATTTGTACTGCTCTCTGTAAAACCCTCTTTCACCTTTTACAGGTAAGCACATTCTACCTGTTTCCTTTTCTTTCACTTGGAATAGAAGTATTTTCAGTGGCAGAGGATTTCTAAAGCTATTTTAGTGATACGATTCTAAGATTGATTTGTAGCTGAGTGAACTGTATTTCTAGTGCTTGAACAGTGTGTCTTGTGCTGCTCACACTTTCTTGTCATAACAGACTTATTTTTCAGGGGTAGGGGAAAAAACCCAGACAAAAACAAAACCAGAGGATACCTTTGAAATTACTATTTGCCCTTGAACTATTTCATAGCAAGACTAGATATTAACTTCCCAGAAATAGCTTGTGAAAAAAGTTGAAAGCAGACTTCTGTTCACTTTATACCTTGTTACAGTCCTAAATAATGTGAGAGGAGACTTAATTTCTAATTTTCTCCGTATTTTACTTTTCTTAAATGAAATACTAATGTTTTCATATCTTATGTGCAAAAGTATATCTGTTAGAGTGGCTACAGTTTCATTGATTTATTATTTCTGTTTGTTTTTTAGCTCCTGCTATTTCTGTCTTCATATTGCCAGCATCCTGGTGTTGTTGGTATTTCCATTGAAAAGAACTCAAAAAGGAAGTAAAAAGCATGAAGGTGTCCAGCCTGTGTGGTCCAGAAAACTAGAAGAAGAAAGTCTTTTGCAAAAGAACAATTATTCCACAACAAATAATAGTTTCAGTCAGAAAGAAGAAATAACCTGCAGATATCAAGCATTAAAACAGTGATTGAGGAAATACTATGATGAATATATTTTGTATGTTTTCAGAAACCCATTTTTAGCACCTTTTAAAGGGGTTTGTATTTGTTTGCAAAGATATTTAGTAAGAAAAGAATGCATTACCTAGGAAAATCACATACAATAGCAAGACTGGAAACAAAACAAATTAACCCCTCCCATGCCATGTCCCTGTGGGTCACGCCTTATATGAAGATATTACCATTATTTCAATGGGCACTCAGGACTTGCAACGTATGTCCATAGGGTCATATGTGTGCCCTTTGCTGAATGTACGTTGTGTATCCCAAGGCACTGATGGGGTGGAATAAAATTGTGTCAGTCTAGGATTAACAAATGGAAATTAATTTTTCCAACTGAATGACTTGCCTTAAACCCTCTATTTACTGAAATATTGTTTCTAAGTGGGTATTTCAAGTTTGATTTTATGTGGAAAGTATTTCAAATATATAACACTATGTGCTATAAAGAAGATAATGAGAGGAAATGCAAAGTCACTAGAAGACTTTGGAGTCTTTCAAAGGGAATTGCAATAAGCATCTCAGTATTTGGAGGGTTTTCTTATCTCAAACCTTTAGAGTACATTACAGAACTGTAAACATTGATGCCAAATTATAGTTAGGTTTCTTTGATAAAGAGTATAATTACTCTGAGTGGATTTAAATGGCCCTTCTGAATGGATTAAAAACACCTAAAGAGTTACCTTTTCCATGGATTGATAGCTCTAATGTAGGTTTCTTTTACTTTAAAGTACCTAAACCCAATAATACACTGCCAAGCGGGCTTTGCAGCCAAAGGGGGAAAGACAGCCACAAGGCATGGAAGACAATGTGCAAGCACTGGGATTTCAATGAAAGTGCAGTTTTGCCCTTAAATACCATAAATACTTGTTCTAGAATAGAACTGTTTTACAAAAAGTAATTTTTAATACTTAAAGTTATTTTGAATTTTCAGGCATCAGTTAGTTGATGATGCTTTCAGTATAAAATAGCAAAATTACCTTGAAGCTCCAGCACACTGGTAGTCAAACATGAAATGACTATCACAACCAATTTCTATATGCTTGATAATTGATAAATCTTTATCCAAAGAAGTGTGTGAATTTGAGGAAAAGCTTTTTCTTTGAATTAGAATTTTAGATGCAAATTTCATGTCATATTTCTGGGTAACAGAATGAAAGAAAGAAATCCTTCAGAACATCTGACTGTCTGAATTATGGAAGTGTGTCAAGGAAACAATGTAGTGGTTATATCTATTTCCAATCATTCATCGTGATGATGGTTAGTGCTAGAGTACTACTGTTAAAGGGCTACATTTTAATTGCATATATTCTGTATTTTCCTATAATTTTTTTAAGTAAACACAAGATGTTTATCCATGTGGGGTTTATTCTTAATTTTAAACCAGATACAAAATAATACCAGAGAAAAATAATGCAGCTGGTTGATTAATAACTAACAAATAATTGAGAAAATTTTGTCATAATATTTTGAAACCTAAAGTTTTAATCAAATATCTAGCTCCAGTTGAATGAGTATTCTTACTGCCATAAGTGCAATGATGGTCCTCAGCTTTGGGGATATTGCCACATAAAAAGCTTCACAGTACTCCTTGGAGAACCAGACCATAAGTTAGGTCAGAGTTGTTTCCTTGCTGTCATAATTCTCTGGCCCTTGGCTCCTCGCCTAAAACTCCAGGAGGAAGAGAAGATAACTTCCCATATGTGTAGGTTAGCACTAATTAATCTACTCAGAAAGGGGGAACTGAATACGAAATGAGAGTGGATGAGTCTGTTTAGGTGAGGAGGGATGTTCATTGTTTCAGTGACAGCTGTATTATCTTCAAGATAAAATAATCTGACTTCTAAATCCTTACTTTGATTGCCCAGGTAGACTTTCCCTTACGTGGGGTTGTGGTTGTCATACACTTCTTTGACACCACATTATGGTTTTCTTTTTGTTACTAAATAAGGGTATGCTAGTTTGTTTGATCATCCTTGTTAGACACAGAATCAGGAAAGACATTTTTTTGCATTCTGTACTTGAAGGGACATTTACATAAAACAACAGAAAAAGATTTGCACATTTCTGGGTGGATAAGTAGAAATAGGGTTGATTTTTTTAGCATTTGTTACTCTGGAACTTAAAATTCTTCTTATTGGTGCAGTCTCCAAATCTATTTTAAAAAACCACTTTTGGATGCCAGTACAATGTGCTGTTTTCCTATTTATGTTCTCATACTCTTGATTTACTGTTTTGGCATGTGTGCCCATGTGTGCTGTGGAGGCTTACTAAGTCTTCTTAATGAAATATGGAAAGGGCTGTAAAGGCTCCCGTAAAATAAGGTTTAGGGTAGTGCAGTCTGGTACTTCAACATGAGTGAATTCAGAGGTACAGTTTTGTTCAGAACTTCTGTATGTAGGGAAGTTGAAATAACTAAGAAAATACATGCATGCTTTCATTGAGCACAGGTGGCAAAATACAGGTTTCAAAATTGGACATGACTTTTTTCTTTATGATTTGAACTCATTAAATAATTGCAAGAAAATTGACAATTAATTAATTCTGCACAGAATTTAAGTATAGTGTCCTAGAATTTACCCTTTAAATGCCATTGTTAAATATAAAAGTACTTTGAACAAAAATCTGCTCTTCACAAGAATGAATTCTCTTGAGGATAATGGAAAGAACTGTTTTATTTTAATGGCAGCACCCTGATTTTAGTCAGTCTGGGGTTTTGATGTTTCTTTCCTGCTGCTTTACTAATTTTCTACCTTCCTATTACACTGGATCCTTTTTATCCATTCGGTCAGAAAGTCAAGAGCAGCCAGCCCTCATGCTTTAGATAATTTTTAGATTTTGCACACATCATTTGATAATACTGAATTTGAAAGGATGGCAGTGATTTTTATTGCTCTTCCTGACAAAAATTGTAGAAAGTATATTTCCTATAAATGTTTTGGACATGAAGGAAACATGGTTTTAAAAGTATTATTTCACTTATTAAATAATGTATATCCAAAAGGTAAAAGTGTTTCCTGTATTGCAGATCAGCACACTATGAAAAGTAAATGCAACATATCATTCATAATTTTACGGTGCTTTGCAAATATTTGCCTATTGTGAACAGTTCATTCAGGCACTTAATGTTAGTTAGTAAATGTAGTCACCCCAATAGTAACTATTTGCTTGCTTAGCATTTTTTAACATTTATGATTCTGTATTAATGAGAGAGATATATATTACATATTTAAATAATACTTTCAGTGGTGCCCACTACTGTTGTAATCAAAAAGGCTTTATTAGCTTTGCAGTTACAGATATGCCCTTCTTATTCAGGAAACTTATTCTTCCCTGGCCATTCCTTAAGTTGACATGTAGACAAGATTTCAGTAATTGGTGACATTTGAAGATGTATTACATGTAAAAATATTGGTATGCATTTCAATATGCTCTTGATTACAAATCACACTTTAGTGAGAAGGTCATGAAGAGACCTTGGTGTATTCCCTGCTCTACACTGACTTATGATATAAGTTTTACCAATATAGTAAATTATTTATTAGGGGAATTTTACACTTGAAGAACTTGTTCTGTTTCCCCCAGGGGAATAAGTGATATTAATATAAATGCTAGACTTGTATGACAGGATGCACACTAGGTAGTTTTGCCTCTTTTGATGGCATTGATTTGGATAGTGGTAAAATGTCTTCTGATGCAGAGGAGATGTTTGAGATCATCACCTCCTGTCTAATTAATATCAAAAGTAATTTTAACAAAATCTAGATTTTTTTTTTTTTCTCAGAAGCTTTGCAAACAAATTGTTGACAATTTGCTTAAATACATGGTCAAATGTGTCTTCATGTTTGCATAAAAATATGTAACTTGCATATATGTAAACTTTCACATGTTCAACTTCATAAGTTGGCCTTGAAAGATAAAGAAATTTAAAAGCACAAGTTACTGTAATTTGGGCTTTCATTTCCCTTTAATTCTTTCACTTTGTTATTCTCATTGAATTCTGAAATCAGGCTTGAGAATTTAATTTTCATTGAAAATTTTGAAATACTACCATCTATGTAGAAAAGTGATCAGTGCTAGAAAAACAGATGGAAATAAATTTGATGCAGACTATGTATAAAAAAATACACCTTAATTATGTGCCGATTCATGACAGCATTTCACTACATGATTAACCTTTATGTATTTATTTAGACCCAATAATACTCTGAACTGCACTTGGTGTATTTTTTAATTTTCCTGTTTAAAAATCAATTGACAATAAGTACTTCAATAAGTATTTAAATGCTGCTCTAAATAAGTAAGCAGGCATGCTAGTGAATTGAGCCTACTCTCATAAGATTACCAGGTCTGTCTGCATCTCAGCTAGTTTGCGCTGAAGTCGAACTTCATCCTCAGAGTCCTGGTGGAAAAGGATGGCAGTGGAGGAGTCTCTGGTCAGAACGTGTCCCATCTGTGGCTGGAAGGGTTTGCCACAATTCCCACAGGGAGCTAACCCTGTGTGCAGAGCTTGGCAGAGGTTCTACTTGCTTGTGACCCGGGCTGCAGCTGCTCTATACTACATCTGGCTGGATTTTTGACATGTTTGCTGACTTAATCTAGACTTTCTGCAAACACCATGACATCCAGGCATCCACAAACTCACCCTGCAAAGTTACAATTACAAATACTGCAACACTTGTTTGTTATGGTGAAAGCTAAATGAAAAAAAGATTTCTTAACTTATTTCAGAATGGGCTTTTTGTAGGTTTTTTACAAAACCTAACCTCAAGTGTATCCATTTTCATCACATTAAATATTTAAACCACTGTTTTGCTCGCTTTAGGTATACAAATGTGCAAAAGCAAATGTTGCCACTTTATCATCATTTGTGCATTAGCTGTGTGTCCAGTGACTTAGACCTGGTCTTGGTTGTAGATGGTTTTAGATTTTCTGAACCCATGTGCATATCCATATAAACATTGCATAAATTTTGAATTGAAAAGCTGTGTGACTTCAGACTGAGATCTGAGGTAGGGCTACTTCTGGAGGAAGGTTTTTGTCTTGCTAGTGACTCAGTCCAGCACCTTATTCCAAACAAATCTCTTGGCAAAAGAGACCTCTGCACAATCTTCTTCCTTCCTTTTGTTCTCTAAGGGGAAGGAACCCCAGGCTGGATTTTCATTTAGGTTTCATATGAATAGATAGCTGGGGTCCATGCTCTAGCCAGATCAGACTTGAAAACTGGGACAGTGTAATTTGAAACAAAAAAAAAATAGAGAAAATAGGGTGCTTAGAGATTGGTAATCAGAAAGTGCAGCACTGCTTATTAAAGGTGCAACAATTAC